GATAGATAGATAGAGATATGGTAGGAAACACGACGTGAACACCAGGAGGTTGTAAAACAGTTAAAAGTTTTAATAAAACATTAAAAACCTTTAAAAGAATATTAAAAAGGACCTAGCTTTCGTTGGATCCTACCAACATCGTCAGGGTACAGAGTAACTCAATGGAAGAAACCATTTATAGGCCAGCCAACGCCTGCGCCCGGGCCCTAGATCTCGTGACGGGTCCTGGGTAACCAATCGATGCATCCCCCTCATTGCTCTCTTTAACTATCCTTGCATTACCACTCACGATGTTGGTAGGATCCAACGAAAGCTAGGTCCTTTTTAATATTCTTTTAAAGGTTTTTAATGTTTTATTAAAACTTTTAACTGTTTTACAACCTCCTGGTGTTCACGTCATGTTTCCTACCATGGATATACCCAGGAGTCATTCGTCTGTCTTCAGTGTTATTTTTAATCAGATAGAGATATAGATAGATGATACATAGATGATACATAGATACATAGATGATACATAGATAGCTTAGATGATATAGATAGAGATAGATAGATAGATAGATAGATAGATAGATAGATAGATAGATAGATAGATAGATAGATAGATAGATGGATGGATGATAGGTGGTAGATAGATAAATGGATAGATAGTAGATAGATAGATAGATGATAGATAGATGATAGACAGATGATACATAGATACATAGATGATACATAGATAGCTTAGATAGATGGTAGATATAGATAGATAGATGATAGATACATAGATACATAGATAGCAAATTGTTTGATAGACAGATAGATGATAGATGATAGATAGATAGATAGATAGATAGATAGATAGATAGATAGATAGATAGATAGATAGATAGATAGATAGATAGATAGTTTAGTTTAGTTTAGTTTTATTAAATTTATACCCCGCCCTTCTCCCGGAGGACTCAGGGCGGCTTACAGATAGATAGATAGATAGATAGATAGATAGATAGATAGATAGATAGATAGATAGATAGATAGATAGATAGATAGATAGATAGATAGATAGATAGATAGATAGATATTTTAGATATAGAGAGATGATAGATGGATAGATGGATAGATAGATAGATAGATAGATAGATAGATAGATAGATAGATAGATAGATAGATTTGGATAGGTTTAGATAAAATATAGATTTAGATGATAGATAGATAGATAGATAGATAGATAGATAGATAGATAGAGACAGATAGATGGATAGATGGATACATGTTTCGTGTTTTAGGATCAGCTGGGATCAGCCCCAAGAGATGGGCACTTCTAGGTATCCCATATCTGGTGAGTCGTCAAGCAGAAAGGCAGAGAAGTCATGTTGGTGGGGCTCACCTCATAGAGCCGGAGGAGGTTGCCCCCTTCACCAGCCAAGAAACCTGTCTCGGTGTGGTATCTCAAGAAGGAAACGTCCCTCCATCTCTTGATCGGGGTATTGTTGGGAACGTGCCATATGGAGACATCTCGGACTGAAAGATCGTAGTAGCCTGGGTTCTGGAAAAGAAGAGAGACCATGGAGGGCACTGGAGGACAGTTCAACAGTCCCTTTCTAAGATCTTTTGAGAAACTCTGAAACTTGAGATTCTGCAGAATGCTACGTTGATAGATGCCTGGAGAAGAACTGTCATAAAAGATTACGAGAGAGAGGGTTGACCCTAGCAGCACTCCACAAGGGAGTGGCCACAGGGGTGACCCCTTCTCCTATTGTCTGGAAGTACCTCTTGAAGAAGGAGCAAAAATACTTGCTGCCACAAGGAAGGAGGGGCCTACCTATTCTCCCAAGCATCTGAAGGCAGGACAAGAACCAGCAGATGGAAACTAGTCAAGGAGAGAAGCAACCTGGAATTAAGGAGAAACTTCCTGACAGTGAGAACAATTAATCAGTGGAACAACTTGCCTCCAGAAATTATAGGTGCTCCATCACTGGAGATTTTCAAGAAGAGACTGGACAGTCACTTGTCTGAAATGGTCTAGGGCCTCCTGCTTGAGCAGGGGGTTGGAGTAGAAGATCTCCAAGGTCCCTTCCAACTATGTTATTCTGTTAAACCTACGAAGTAAGGGATATTCCAGTAATACAACATAATTGTTGTTGCGCAAGTCTGCAGCCACAGAATCAGGACATTCTATGCCCAAACTGGCCTGTCCGGTCATCTTCGGACATACCACATTTAGGTTCAAGGTGGCCACTGATGTTGAGGTCAATGACGGTGGACAAACAACATTGCTATTTTTTTTGCACCAAATATTAAACATCATCCAGCACTGCCTGTTACTACCAGCTCTTTTAGACTGATTTTGACCTGTGGCTAAAAAAGGCCCATTTTTTTAAAAAAAAAAGTTTGCTTTTTCCCCTTCCCCTCAAATTAGTTATTCCTACCTTGTAGTCATCACTTGTGGCTCCTACGGCTGATCCAAAGATGTTATTGTTGGACCAATTTCCATCTCCATCGGGGTAGTTGGCATTGCTACCTTGCTGGCTGGACCAGCGATCGCCAACGGTGCATTTCCCAAAGATGTTGTTCTCGTGGACACTGGCCACTAGAGTCCAGCCGCCTCCGTTGGTGGACATGTCGCAGAAGGTCTGGTAGATCTCACCATCTTCGGTGGTCAGGATATACAGTCCATCTGCCAAACAGCAGATAAATAGATATATATTTATGCTCAATTATTGATATTTCAAAATGACCTCGTCCTCGTCTCTTCAGCCTCTCTTCCCCTCTAGCACTGATGATGTTACCTCGTTGGATAATGAAAGGTCTGTAAGAAAACAAGCTCAGAGAGCACCAAGGACCCCACAGTCTTCCTCTTCCTCCTCCTCTTCTTCTACCCTCCTCCTTTTCTTCCTCTTTCTCTCCTCTTTCTTCTTCTTCTCCTCCTACTACTACTTTTCTCCTCCATTTGTCCTCCTCTTTCTTTTTTCCTCCTCCATTTGTCCTCCTACTCCTTGTTCCTCCTCCTCCTCTTCTTCCTTCTCTTCCTCCTTCTTTCCTCCTCCTCCCCCTCCTCCCCCTCCTCCTCTCCTTCCTCCTCCATTTGTCCTCCTCTTCCTCCTTTCCTCCTCCTCCCCCTCTCCTTCCACCCTCCTCCATTTGTCCTCCTGTTCCTTCTCCTCCTTCTTTCCTCTCCTCCTCATTCTCTCCTTCCTCCTCCATTTATCCTCCTACTTCTTCTTCCTCCTCCTCCCATCCTCCTCTTTTTTCTCCTCCATTTGTCCCCCTCCTCCTTTCTTCCTCCTCCTCCTCACATCCTCCTCCTCCTCCTCTCCTTTTTCCTCCATTTGTCCTCCTTTCTTCCTCCTCCTCCTCAAATCCTCCTCCTCCTCCTCCTCCTCCTCCTCCTCCTCCATTTGTCCTCCTCTGTCTGCTTTTCATGACCACAAACACCATTTCAAAATCGCCAATTTACATAAATGGTAGAAGATAATGTCAGTTTTGAATTATAATGATAGAAAGAGTTGTAATGATTCCAAGCTATATAATCAAGAACTATACATATTAGGTTAACAGAAATTAACTATGGCTGGCCAGGGAATTCTGGGAGTTGAAGTCTGCCTATTGTCAAGCTGCCCAGGTTAAGAAAGGCTGTTTAGATTCTCATTGTTGGAATGATAAACGGGGCTGAAAAAAGGCCGGCCTCTGGTATTTAGAAAAAACTGACCCATGGATTTGAGCAGAACTTTTCTTTTAATAAAGCAGGTCTCTCCAAACTTGGAAACTTTAAGACTTGTGGACTTCAACTCCCAGAATTGATGGCTGGCTGGGGAATTCTGGGAGTCAAAGTCCACAAGTCTTAAAGTTTCCAAGTTTGGAGAGATCCCTGTAATAAAAGATCAGATTGATCATAGCAGGGATGCCCAATGGTGGGAGGGGGTGTCATAAAATCAAAGTGCAGGCACAACTGTGAAGTCAAAGCCGCCTCCTCTTTTCCATGCCTCCCAATGCACAGGGCTGGCCTTCCATCCTAGATATGTGGCCACCATTTTGACTCTTTTGCCCCTCTCTTGCTGACACCCTGGACTGTGGGGCACGGGGGTGGAAACTGGAGGGAGAGACCGATTTGTTGCAAAGAAACTTATGATGAAGAAGGGAAGCGGTGAATGCGCCAACACTGGAAGTTTTTAAGAAGAGACTGGACAGCCATTTGTCTGAAATGGTATAGGGTCTCCTGCCTGAGCATGGGGTTGGACTAGATGACCTCCAAGGTCCCTTCCAACTTTGTCATTATTATTGTTATTATTCAGAAGCGGAGAGATTGGAGCAGGCTGAGAAGAACTTTCAGCGGCCCGTTTGCCCACCGGCAGCCTCTGGTATTGCCGCCTTGATTTCCTGGCAGCTCCGGTGCAGCTTCTGGGGCTGGCCTGGGTGGGAAGGCTGGCAGGATGACCCCACTTCCCATTTCTTCAGGAGGTCCAGGAGGTCTTGCTTGGCTGTGCTGATGCAGCTGACACCGCCTGTCGACACAAAATACAACAAAAGCCAGATTCACTTAATGACCATGTGTATTAATGGAAGAAGCATTTCTTTTCATTATTTATTATTTTCATATTGATGAAAGAATTTCTAAAAAAAGTGTGCAGAGAATAGCCACAAAGATGATTAGGGAACTGGAGGCTAAAATGTAGGATGAACGATTGCAGGAATTGGATATGTCTCGTTTAATGAAAAGAAGGATCAGGACAACAGTATTCCAGGATTTGAGGGGCTGCCACAAAGAAGGGCTGGGGTAAACCTGTTCTACAAAGCACCTGAAGGCACAGATAGAAACTAATCAGGTTGTTCACCAGAGCACCAGAGGGAAGGACGAGAAACAGTGGTTGGAAAATGATCAAGGAGAGAAGCAACCTAGAAATAAGGAGAAACTTCCTGACAGTGAGGACAATCAACCAATGGAACAGCCTGCCTCCAGAAATTGTGGGCGCTCCATCACTGGAAGTTTTAAAAAAGAGACTGGACATTCACCTGTCTGAGACAGTATAGATTCTCCTGCTTGAGCAGGGGGGGTTGGACTAGAAGACCTCCAAGATCCCTTTCTATTCTATTCTATTCTATTCTGTTCTGTTCTGTTCTGTTCTGTTCTGTTCAAGGAGAAAAACAACCTAGAACTAAGGAGAAACTTCCTAACAATTAACCAGTGGAACAGCTTGCCACCAGGAGTTGTGGGTGCTCCATCACTGGAGGTTTTTAAGCCACTTGCCTAAAAAGGTAGGCTTGAGCAAGGGGTTGGACTAGAAGACCTCCAAGGTATCTTCCGGTCCCAGAATTCAGTGATCCTTTGAGAACCCACTTTCCCACAAATCCACCGGTTACTCACTCACATGCAGTTTGTGCTTTTGCGAAGGCAGCCCAGACCAGCAACAGAAGAGCCAACAACTTCATTGTGGATCAGCCTCTAGAGAAAAATGTGAATTAATCTGTCTGTGAATTAATAGCAGAGATGGAGCTCTTTAAGAATCTGTGCAGAGCTAAAACTGCAAATGAAGATGCTACTGGCACTGTTTGACTTTGATTGTCATGGTGAAACAAGCTTTGTGACTAATCCCTCTTCTTGCCAACTTCCAGGAACAGAGCCCTGTGGTTTTCAAATTCTGCCCAGGTGCCAAGACAGCAGCAATTGTTTTTAAATGGTTTTAAGTTGTGAAATACATCCTTCAGATTTGATGAGGGAGATTGGGCTTGAATGATTTTGCCACAGGAGTTCTGAGAAAAATATTAAAATCATTTCTGGCAAATTATCTTTGATTTGATGGGCAATTCTTTGATTTGATGGGCAATTTAGGGCTGGTTGAAACATGGAATCAGAAAAATTGCACCTCTTACCTACTTTTCTGAAGAACAGAGCCTTTTTTTAAAGAATAAACAGGATTTACATCTCAAAGTACTTGGCCACTCAGCTTTTTAAGACAGATTTACTCCCCAAGATCTTTTGGGATCATAATCTTGTGAGTTTCATTTATAAAAGGAAATTGTATTCTTTTAGATCGGGAGTCTCCAAACTTGGCAACTTAAATACTTGTGCATTTTGGCTGGGGAATTCTGGGAGTTGAAGTCCACAAGTCCTAAAGTTGCCAAGTTTGGAGACTCCTGTCTATGGAGATTCTCAGTCATCCAGGTCATGGTTGTCCCAAAGGTGCTTTTTTTTCCCATGCTGGACCTCTGCCTGACCACTACTTATTTTAAATAGAGTGAAGGTTTCTACAGACAAAAACATGGCTGCCCTGTGTCCCCCATTGTGGCCAATCTCTACATGGAAGAGGTAGAAACCCAATCCCTAAACTCCTTCACAGGAATTCTACCCACTTCCTGGTAAGATATGTGGACAATACTTGGATCAAGATCAAAACACAGGAATTGGAAGCCTTCACCAAACACATCAACATACATCAAATTCACGGGGGGAAGATGTTAAGGAAAATAGTCTAGCAGTACACATTAAGGAAGACAGAAGCCTTAACATTGAAATTTACAGAAAACCGCAGCACACAGATTAATATTTACATTTTGATTCTCACCACCCATTGGAGCACAAAAGTTATCAGAACCCTAACCTTTTGGGCATTCCACGGACCAGAGAGGGCGTGGTTTTGTGTGCTGCCTGCATCTCATGGATGGGGCTTTGCTTGTTTGTGTGGCCCAGTTGCTGGCATGTGGCGACCCGGTACGGGTCCACGGATTGGGGGTTGGGGACCCCTGCCATATACCACCAAGCTGAAGGCCTACCCACCAACAAAGATGGAAAAGAAAAAGAACTAAAACACATCAAGGAAGCCCTCAGAACCGGTGGCTATCCCAAGTGGGCCTTCATCAAATCTCAAAAAAGACCCAGCAGGGGCTCCTCCATCACAGACAAAGTAGAAAACAATAAAAAAAGCAATGTGGTCATTCCACACGTTGCAGGAATACCAAAAAAGCTCAGAAGTATCTTCAGCCAACACAACATACGTGCACACTTCAAACCCAAAAATACACTAAGGCAGAAGCTTGTCCACTTCAAGGATAAAACACCCAGACACAAACTGAGCAACATGGTATATGCTGTACAATGCAGTGAGTCATGTGCAGATCTGTACACTGGGGAAACATAACAACCACTTCATAAACGCATGGCACAACATAGGAGCACAAACCCATCAGGACAAGATTCAGCCGTCCATCTGCTGAAAGGCCACTCTTTCAGTCCATATTCTGGACAGAGAGGACCACTGGTTTGAAAGAGGGGTCAAAGAGGCCATCTGTGTCAAAACTGAGCAACCCTCCCTTAATGGGGGGGGGGAGATACGACATCATCTATCTCCAGTCTATACCACAGTTCCAAGAAGGCTCCACACCCATTTGCACCACTCAGTTTTTATTCCCCCCATCTGCTGGGTGGTTGCAGCAGGTTTTGGTCACTTCACATGACCCTGGGACACTGTGACTGTCATAAATATGAATCAGTTGCCAAGCATCTGGATGTAAATCACAAGACCCTGGAGATGCCGCAACATTCCAGCTGATCGGCGCTTCTTCTGGGCTCAGCAGAAGCACCAGGATCAGTGCTGCTTTCCAGCTGATCGGTGCTTTTTCTGGGCTCAGCGGAAGTGCCAGGATCAGCGTTGAGCTCCGGCTGGAGCCTGGTGCTGATCCTGGTGCTTCCGCTGAGCCCTGACAGCCCTGCAGCTCCAGCCATCTCTCGCTCAGGCTTGTGCGGTGCTGCCACCGGTTCAGCTCATTCTCCTCCCCCGCTACCACTTTTCTAGGATGGTTGCGTACCACTTGCCAGGTGCCAATGTACCACAGGTGGTACCCATACCACTGGTTGAAAAGCCCTGGTCTAGGTGACCTCAAGGATCTTTCCAACTCTATGGCTGCATTCTTACCACTTGCTTAATCTGATGACTGAAATCAATTCAGTTCTGGGATTGTACAATGCAATGAGCAACACACTAACCAAACCTCACCGTGTGTTAAATCAGAAAAAAAACCTTAATGATGGTTAATATTAAGAAACTTATGATTGCTGGGTGTAAACTGGTCTTTGGCTGTTGGGTTGAGCGTGCTGTGGGAACACAGGCTATAACCCCCATTTAACAAATGTCTCAACTTTTCTACTAAATAAAAACACCACTTCAGTCTAGTACTTTGTGTTGCAGAATCCATGCTTGGTTCCTTTTCCATCTGCACCCCAGCATTGGACCCCCATTCCTGGCTAAATTTCTGACTTACCTGATGGATCTCAAGCGTTTCTTTGACGTCTGATAATGCACTGAGCACAGGTTTGTGTTAGCTGGATGAGGAAGATTGCCTTGCCTGAACGAAGCAGGAAGCTCAAATCAGCCAGCCCTTCTTGCTCAACTTTATTAAATGGTTCAATTTCGAAATTCACCTCCCCACCACACAAGGAAGTGAAGAGCAGGAAATCCTGAAATGAGGAGGGGCTGCTGTTTGCACAAAGAAGGTGAAACAGTTTCAGGAAAAGGGCTGGCCAATAGAGAAGTCAATAAATATGATAATAATAGCACTCTCTGAGCTTGATGGTTTCCTTGCAGATGTTGCATTACCTGATTAGGTAACATCTTCAGTGCTAGAAGGGAGGGGGCTGCTGAGAGGAGGAGGAGGAGGAGGAGGAGGAGGAGGAGGAGGAGGAGGAGGAGGAAGACAATGACCATTGGGTCTTTGGTCCTCTCTGAGCTTGGTGGTTTTCTTGCAGACGTTTCATGAGCCAACTAGATAATATCATCAGTGGTAGAAGTAAGGAGGGGGGTTGCAGAGAGGCGGAGGAGGGGGACTGTGAAATCCTTGATATTTTCTGAGCTTTTGTGATTTTCTTGCAGACGTTTCATGACCCAGCTAGGTAACTTCATCAGTGCTAGAAGGGAGTGGGGTTTTTTGGGCGCTCAGTCTCTAAAAGGTTCACTGCCCTATACCATTTCGGACAAATGACTGTCCAGTCTCTTCTTAAAAACTTCCAGTGTTGGAACACTGACTGTCAGGAAGTTTCTCCTTAGTTCTAGATTGGATTCTCTCCTTGATTAGTTTCCACCCATTGCTTCTTGTCCTGCCTTCAGGCGCTTTGGAGAATAGCTTGACTCCCTCTTCTTTGGGGCAGCCCCTGAGATATTGGAACACTGCTATCATGTCCCCCCTCGTCCTTCTCTTCATTAAACTAGACGTACCCAATTCCATCAACCTTTCCTTACATGTTTTAACCTCCAGTCCCCTAATCATCTTTGTTGCTCTTCTCTGTACTCTTTCTAAAGTCTCAACATCTTTTTTACATCGCGGTGACCAAAACTGGATGCAGTATTCCAAGTGGGGCCTTACGAAGGCATTGTAAAGTGGTATTAACACTTCACGTGATCTTGATTCTATCCCTCTGTTAATGCAGCCCAGCACTGTGTTGGCTTTTTTGGCAGCTGCAGCACACTGCTGGCTCATATTTAAGTGATTGGCCAGTAGGACTCCGAGATCCCTCTCACAGTTACTACTGTTGAGCAAGGTACCCCCTATACTATACCTGTACATTTGGTTTTTCTTGCCTAAATGTAGAACCTTACTTTTTTCACCACTGAATTGCATTTTGTTAGATAGCGCCCAGTGTTCAAGTGTGTCCAGATCCTCCTGTATCCTAAGCCTGTCTTCTGGAGTGTTGGCTATTCCTGCCAGCTTGGTGTCATCTGCAAATTTGATGAGTTCTCCATCTATCCCCTCGTCCAAATCATTGATGAAGATGTTGAAGAGCACTGGGCCCAGAACAGAGCCCTGGGGCACCCCACTGCACACTTCCCTCCATGTAGATGCGGTTCCATTGAGGACCACACACTGAGTACGGCCGGTCAGCCAGCTATGGATCCCTCTGGTGGTGATGCTGTCTAACCCACATTTTTCTATCTTATCAAGTAGTAAGTTGTGATCTACTTTATCAAATGCCTTACTGAAGTCCAAGTAAATTATTTCCACAGCATTCCTCTGATCCACTAATTTTGTCACTTGGTCAAAGAATGCAATAAGGTTTGTCTTGCATGATCTGTTTTTGACAAACCCATGTTGGCTTTTAGTAATGACTTTAGTCAATGTTTTGTAAAAAAAAAAAAAAAAGGTGCCGGAACTCACACACGTCATACAACCCACCTTGCCTACTCTACAAGGTTCCATCCAAAAAAGGTGCCGGAATTCCGTTCTTGGCGTTCTATGACAAAAAAAGGCCTGACTTTAGTAATGACTTTAGTAATGTGCTGGCCTTTTCCATTTTGCTCCTTATACATTGGTAAAACCTCTGAAAAAGTAAGCCTACAGCCTATCCTGCTAAGTTCCTGCCCCAAGCTCTGGAAATTATTCTGCACAGAGAGTACATCTTTTTGGGACAGATCGTTAGTGCCAAGTTGTACAATAGCCTCCACATCACAGTCCTTGCTGGCATTCTTGACTATTTTCGAAATACGCTTCCTGTCCCTACTGGCAGTAGCATCTGGAAGACACCTGACCTCGTTCGAAACCTCTGTGTCCTTTCCTAAATTTATGTCCCTTATAATTGAATCACCAACCAGAAGGTGACTTCTGTTTTTGGATGCCTTTCTGTTCTTGCATGACTGATGTATAATACCTGATTCGCACTTCTCCCTGTTGAAAAGAAGTTCTTCATCTCAGACCACGATCCCCTGTTTGTTTGAGTTATCAATGCTAGAAGGGAATGAGGTTTGTTCTCTGTGTGGCTTGACCTGTCAGTGTTTTTTCTTGATAGTTCTTTGATTAGGCTGCTGTTTATTGTTTGACTGTTTGTCTGGTGTTAATCCTTACTTCTCTGGGTGTTGATTGCTGGGGAGGAGGTGTTTTGGTCTTTTTGTTTTAAGCTTTTTTGATTGTCTCTTTTATTTGTTTACTACATTTATATGCTACCCATCTCTCTTTCCAAATTGACTCTCAGTGGCTTACAATCCCATAAAATCATAAATATAGAGACATTAACAGGACTCAGATTAAAAAAAAAACTATACACCAAGAGTACCAACGACTGATTCCTGAAATAGGATTTTTCTAGGCACATTAATAAATTCAAAGAAAATGGAACCTTTTTGTATTTAGCTAACATAGTATCATCAAGACCAAAAACTGTACATGTATTATACAATCCTCCCCACCGGGCTCTGGAATAGAATGTTCAATGAGATTGAATGGTGTGGAAATATTGTTTATCTCGATGTGCCCATCGATGGCTGATTTATAGGATTCTCTAGCATTTTTGGACTTAGTTTTAACAGTTTTCAATTTGGAAAAAAAAAAGGCATTTCCTCTTTGCCATTCCTTGGAATTGTTTGCAGCTCCTACAGAGCCTGTCCCCATTGATTGATGGTGGGGGAGATGCCAGGCTGGTCCAGTCAGAGAAAAGAGGATGTGGCAGGTCGTTCTTTCTTTCATATAAAGAATATTAGAGTTGGAAGGGACCTTGGAGGTCTTCTAGTCCAACCTCTTGCTCAAGCAGGAGAGCCTAGACCATTCTGGACAAATGGCTGTCCATGAATCAAAGTGATGAGACCAACATATTAGCCAAGGGGGCCTTCTCAGTGTAGAGATTCTATCTCAGTCACCCTTCCAGTCATTGATCCTGAAAAAATGCAATATTCCAGAGATATCATTGGGGGCAGACAAAGTAGAGAAGATAAAGAAATTACAGGCAGTCCTTGAGTAACAACCACAACTGAGCCCAACATTTCTGTTATTAAGTGAGACATTTCTTAAGTGAGTTTTTTCCCCATTTCTCGCCATAGTTGTTAAGCTGAATCACTGCAGTTGTTAAGTTAGTAACAAGCTTGTTAAGTGAAGCTGGCTTCCCCATGGACTTTGCTTGTCAGAAGGTCCCAAAAGGGGATCATGTGACCTGGGGATGCTGCAACCATCATAAATACGAGTCAGTTGCCAAGCATCCAAATTGTGATCACATGGGGATGCCACAATGATCATAAGTGTGAAAAATGGTTATAACTCTTTTTTTTTTGCAGTACTGTTGTAACTTTGAACGGTCACAAAATGAATTGTTGTAAGTTGAGGACTATCTGTATTTTACTTTATCTCTGAATGCCAACCTAATTTTGCTTTCTTCCGAAGCAATACACAGAAGGGTGACCATTACAAATAAAAATCACGCTTCTCCAAATGTTTCTAGGGAGTTTGTCCCTATAAAGATCAGTATTGTGATTCGTCCCCTTAAAGGGGACGAAATGTTTGTGAAATAATTTACAAACTGCGGCCTATTCAATGGTTTGCAGTCTCTTAGGTAAAATTACAAACAGAAATGAGTAAGTCACATATTGCACAAAGACATTTCATAAGCCTGGCTGGCTGGTGAATTCTAGGAGTCGAAGTCTATCTGTCTTAAAGTTGACAAGGTTGAGAAACAGACAACAATGGACAACAGAGTTAGGCACCTCTGGGAAGTACTCCAGGAATGAATCAGTTTGTAAGAGGGTTACTCCTGATTTACTCTCTTAAGCAACAACCCTGGTTTGAAAGAACATTGGAGAAGATAAAAGTGTAGCTTCTTTTCTAGAACTTCATGGTGTCCACCTTGGATGTGAAACTCTCTGGAAACCCCTTAAGAATGGCCCTGGTTCTCCAAGACTTTTGACACAGATGTCTCAGGCTCATTGGTGCCCTTATGACTCATAAACACCTTGACCAGAAGCCTGTGGGCATCAGTTGCCACATCCTCCACAAAAGTTTTCAGCATGCTGTAGACCACTGCGAATGACAAGCCTACCGAGGCCATGGGCACAAGCTGCTTTGGTAGGTTGGGTGCTCTGCTGGCCGCTTGGACAAGCAATTCCACCACAACTGCTTTAGTGACTGCAGGAGCCAGTGGAGACTTGATTAGGGCCTTCAGCTGCTCAACGGGTTGGTCTACATGTTCAGCGGTCCTCCTTAGGGAGTCCTCTTCCAAGCCAAAGCTGATGCAATAACCTTGCATGGTTCTGACCAGCAGGTCCACATTGCACGCCACCGAAATATCTGAGATAGCTTCAGTCTGGATCCCACAGGCCACCACAGCCACCAACCACAAGTGTTCCAGCATCATGTCCTTCTTCTTCTCCAAGATGCGATGGGAGATGTTGGGGGTGGCAAGGAGGAACGAGTGGCTCTTCGGTAGATCCAGGTTCTTCTCCAGAGTCTCTTCCAGAAGATAGAAGTCGTACTTGCTGAGTAAAAGGCTGGAAATAAGGAAGATCTTGGGAGATCTCACTTTCTCAGCTTGAAGGTCTTGTAGGCAATCTTCCCGGATCTTCTGTAGGGTGATCAGCTCATTGAAGCTAGATGGGTTGCTCTGACGGATTGATTCCAGATCTGCCTCCACTTTGGAACGGACAAA